TACTAACTGGTGTTGTTAAATTAGTAGTTGAATGCAAATCATTTGTGTCACCCAGAGTTTGGTTAAGCCACTAGGTTTGTAGTAATTATTACATCAGCAATAGGAAACAAATATAGTAGAATAAATAAAAAGTATAAATAGTTTATGTTGGGTCAGGTTTTGCTGCCAAATGAGTTTTGTCACCAATTTAATATACAAAAAAAAAAGAAGTTATTTTCAGGGTTTCTCTGAAATGTAGACATGTGTGTGCATAAGGAATTATGGATCTATATTTGGTTTTTACTGCTTGCTTTTCATACCTTTAAAATATAAATTCTATGAGAGTTCAGGCTTTGTTTTGTTCACTGCACTCAAATTACCAAGAACAAAACTTGGCACATAGTAAGTACTCAAATATCTTCTGAACCAATGAATTCACCAATGAATAGAAAGCATCCAATATTTGCTGGATAAATCAATGGTCAGTTTTCTTTGTTAATGCAGGCGCTGGAGAAATAGCTTCACTTAGAATCTATCTCCATCATCTATTAGTCATCAGATCTTAGGTGAGATATTTAACCCTGATAAATCTTGGCTTTCTCATTTGTAAAACTGGAATAATAATAACAGCTTCCTCTTTGACAGAAACAGCCAAATGCTAGAAAACAGTGGAGAAACTACTACATGATTCTCAGTGATGTAAAGTGCAAGCCAATGATACATCTGGCTGAACTATCCTTTGAATATGAAGACTGTAGACAAATAGTTGTTAACTTGTAAGATCTCAAAGAATATTCTTCCATAAACTTTTACTAAGCTCATTTTATTGAATTTCATACTGAAGTATTTAGGGAGAAATATCATGAGGTCTGTAATTTACTTTTAAAATAGTTCTGCACATAAAAATAAAATTTTTAAAAAATATATATTTTTGTGTGCATAAAAAATGGCAACCAGAAAGTAAAGAGAACAAATATATACAACTCTTTCTAGAAACATTGCTATAAATAGAGGCAAAGAAACTGAAGAGACATATAGAGTTATAGAAGGATTTTTAAAGTATGATGGGACATTCTAAGTCTTTTGATTGGTATGTCCACAGAAACAATTCAAGAGAAAAGGAGAAAGTGAAGAAGAAAGAGGATGACTGCAGTAGCAAAGTCCTTGAACTTAGTGAGAGAGGAAAGGATCTGGGGCCTAATGGAGAAGTTGGCTTTTAATAAAAGCAGGTGTAATTCTTGCACTGATAACAGAGGAAGGCAGGGAATATGGAGAGGTAAATACGCTAAGTTAATAAATTTAGTGATGGAAAGATGGGGAGTTCACATTTATTTTCTCAATGGAAAAGCAAGTTCCTTAGTAGTAAATGGTGCCAGAAGTTAGAAGAAATGGTTATCTTAGAAAGTTAAGCAAAGTTAACTAGAGAAATGTAGCAGGTTTACCAGATAGTATTTAAGAACAGGGATCATGAGTGCAAACTAAGACCCATTAGGTGGTTGCCTAATAGGTAGTTATATGGTGCTGTTAATAACAGAAATACCACAAGTGGATGGCTTTAACAAACAGAAATTTAATCCCTCACAGTTTAGGAGGCTGTAAGTCAGAATTCAGAGCACTGGCTTTAGGAGAAGCCTTTCTGTCCCTGTGTCTCGTGGTTCCAGAAGGTTCTCGGCCCAGGGAACCTGAGTCCAAAGGATACGTTCCACTCCTGGCTCTTCTTTCTTTGTGGTAGAGATCCCTCTCTCTCTCTGTTCACTTCTCTCCCCTTTTATCTCTTGTAAGATAAAAGCTGTTGCAAACCACACTCTAGGGAAACTACCCTGGCTTAGGGCTGTGATGAGATCAAGGATGTTGCATCTCCACCTAATCTTTTTACAATTGAGTGGCTAATCACATCAGAGTACATCATAGGGGATCATTCCATAACTGCCAAATTACATTACTGGGTAACTACCAAAATATGTGTAATCAAATATGTGTAAACTTGGCTAGGTCGTTTTTTTGGGAAACAATTCAATCCATGGCAGTGGCATAGATGGTTAATATGCTTGACGGCTAACTGAAAGGTTAGAAATTGGAGTCCACCCAGAGATGCCTCAGAAGAAAGGTCTGGTGATCTATTCTGAAAAATCAGCCACTGAAAACCCTATGGGGCACAGTTCTACTCTGACACATATGAGGTTGCCATGAGTCTGAGTCAACTTGACAACAACTAGTGTTTTTGGTATGATTTCTTTCCTCAGCCATCAGCTTCCTGAGTGCATGTGTGGAGTTGTAGATGATAGGTTTACCTAAAATTAAGGTTTTGCCAGATAAAAATGATGAAAATGAATGTTAAGTGTGTTTGTAGGGAAGCAATTACAATGATGGATGACAGAATCTCTCCTGGGTAGGGAGGAAAGTGGGAACATGAAGGAGGTGATGGATGGACTGAAATACTTCATTCAATCTATGGATTGAAGATTTCTATGAAATCACATGATTGTTTTCTTAGAATATTTGAGCAACTGAGCTGGAAATATGGGAGGTGAGAGTCATACAGTAAACTCTTGACAATATCACTCCAAATTTTTTTCTATTTAAGATTTATGAATTCATGGAAAATAAAAGTTAGGAAATTTGCTTCAGAGGCAGTTCAAAAGATGTGGTTGTTGTTGTTGTTGTTGTTAGGTACTGTCAAGTTGTGTCCAACTCATAGCAACCCTATGCACAGCAGAATGAAACATGACCTGGTCCCATGCCGGCTCCATGATCCTTGCTATATTTGAGTCCATAGACACAGCCACTGTGTCAGTCTATCTTGTTGAGGGCCTTTCCCTCCTTCATTGACCCTCCACCTTACCAAGCACGACATCCTTCTCCAGGGAATGGTCCCTTCTGACAACATGACCAAAGCAGGTGAGACGAAGTCTGGCTATTCTCGCTTCCAAGAAGTATTCTGGCTGAATTTCCTCCAGGACAGATCTATTAGTTGTTTTAGCAGTCCATGTTATTTTCAGCATTCTTCGTCAACACCACAACTCAAAAGCATCAATTCTTCTTTGGTCTTCCTTATTCATTGTCCAGCTCTCACATGCATATGAGGCGATTGGAAATATCAAGGCTTGTGTCAGGCACAACTTAGTCCTCAAGGAGACGTCCTTACTCCTCAGCACTTGAAAGAGGTCCCTTACAGCCAACTTGCCCAGTGTTATACATCATCTAATGTCCTGACTGCTGCTTCCATTGGTGTCTATTGTAGAACCAAGCAATGTGAAGTCTTTGACAACCTCAATCTTTTCTCCATTTATCGTGATGCTGATTATAGGTCCAGTTGTGAGGATTTTTGTTTTCTTTATATTGAGACATAATCCATACTGCAGACTGTATTCTTCAATCTTCA